GAGACTTCAGGACTGCATTAGAGGAAAAAAATACTACTTTCTAGAAACTGAATTCTGCAATACAATTATGTATAATTTGTGCCACGTTCAAGCCTCAAGGATATTTGTGTTGTTTGTTGCTGCTTTAATTTATTGATACAGCAGATGCTTTAGTATTAAGATAATAAAGGAAACATTTGCACTGTGGTTAGTTTGATTCCAAGTCTTCTACATTTGTTTCTGTGTTTGGAAGGCGAGTGTGCTTCCTCCTCCACCCTGGATGTCTGTGGGCGGTGTGTCCACACAGCCAGCTTTCTGTGCGGGCTTCCTGGGAGGCCCCTGCTCTGTCTTCCACCAAGAGAATCCCCCAGGGAGTCTTCTGTCTTTTTCCTCCATCCGCCTCTCCCAGGAAGACAAGGAAAGTGCTCGCCGTCCTGTCGGAGGTGACCGTAAACCCGTCCGTCTGCTATGAATTTTTAGCAGCAGAATTTAGTTTGTTGTCTGCCGTTTTTTTTTAATGTCTTTGGAAGGGTATCATCATTAGTCTATCTGTTCTGGTAATTTACCACGTATTTGCTGATATAATAAATATGTTGTGAGTGATTTTTAGGTATCAAGTCCTGTGTTAGCTATCAGGGACATGACAGTACAAAATGATATGAGATTGAATGACCAGGGATTCTGACACTGGATTAGTCAGTGGGCAAAAGCGCTAAGGAACTTTAAAAAGTTCTTGGAAAATAGAATTAAAAGATAAGTTTATTTTGGTGCAAAAATTTTGAAATTCGTGCACGTGAGGGTGTCCTCAAAAGCATTATGGACAAATGTGTTTGTGATAAAACTGCATGGATTTAAAGCAACTTTTGTATCAAAACATGCATCGTTTATTTTCAGTTTTCCATGAAATTTTTGAAGTGTCCCCACATAAATGCCAAAGTTTCAGTGGCTGAACCTAGCAAGGGTTTATTTCTCACTCATGCTGTGGTCCTACAGCTCCCCTCCATGGAGGTCACTGCTTTCAGTTATACGGACTAAAGAGGGAGCGCAGAGCATTCCTGCTGGTTATGGCCTGCACTCGCCGGGGTGCTCTGTAGACACAGGATCAATAGGACAGGTAGACAGGTAGACAAGGGGGGATTTCTTAGGAGGCCTGGCAGCTGCGAAGCCCCAGGTGGCCTGCAGGCTGGAGACCCTGGGATGCTCCGGCATGGCTCCCTTTAAGTCCAAGTTCTCAGAACCAAGGAAGCTGAGGGCATGGGTCTCACAAGGGCAAAAGCTGAGTGGCCATCAAGGGGCCAGGAGCAGAAGTCCTGGAGTCCCAGGGCCAGCAGCTGACGTCCTAGGAGGAGTGGAATGTGATCTGGGTCTCTTGGAGACCAGATCACCCCCCCTGCCTAGACCCTGTGCTGATCTCGTGTGCTGAACACCTCACAGACACAGCCACAGTCGTGTGCATCAGTGTCTAGTTTCTCCTTCATCCCGCCCAGTCGACACCACAAAGTAAGCTGCTCCTTGTCCAGCCAGAGGGCAAGGACAGGTCCAGGAGATGGATAGGAGGTTTTCCAGATGCTCAGGGAGAGAGGTGATGGTGCCCGGGATGAAGGGAGAACCATGAAAGTGAAGAGAAACAGACGTAGCTGAGACATCAGGAATGGTACGTTTGCAGTCTCATGGTCATGTATGTAGTCTCATGGTCATATATGCAGTCTCATGGTCATGTATGTAGTCTCATGGTCATATATGCAGTCTCATGGTCATGCATGTAAACTCATGGTCACGTGTGCAGTCTCATGATCATGCATGCAGTCTCACAGTCATGTGTGCAGTCTCATGGTCATGCATGCAGATTCATGGTCATGTATGCAGTCTTATGGTCATGTATGTAAACTCATGGTCATATATACAGTCTAATGATCATGTATGCAGTCTCATAGTCACATTTGCAGTCTCACAGTCATGTATGTGGTCGCATGATCATGTATATAGCCTCATGATCATGTATGCAGATTCCTGGTCACAGATGTGGTCTCTTGGTCACGTGTACAGTCTCATGGTCATGTATTCAGTCTTACAGTCATGTATGTTGTCTAATGGTCATGTATGCAGTCTTATGGTCATGCATGTAATCTCATGCTCATGTATGCAGTCTCATGATCATGTACACAGTCTCACGGTCATGTATGCAGCCTCACAGTCACGCATGCAGATTCATGGTCATGTATGCAGTCAGTCTCATGGTCATGTATGCAGATTCATGGTCATGCATGCAGTCTCAGTCATTTATGTAGTCTCATAGTCACATGCAGTCTCTGTCATGTATGTAGCCTCATGGTCCTGTATGCAGATTCCTGGTCACAGATGTGGTCTCTTGGTCATGTGTACAGTCTCATGGTCACGTGTACAGTCTCATGGTCATGTATGCAGTCTCATGGTCATGTGTGCAGTCTCACGGTCATGTGTGCAGTCTTATGGTCATGCATGTAGTCTCATGGTCATGAATGCAGTCTCATGGTCATGTGTGCAGTCTCACAGTCACATATGCAGTCTCATGGTCAAGGATACAGTCTTATGGTCATGTATATAGTCGCATGGTCATGAATGCAGTTTCATGTCTTAGGCATGCAGAGTTGCGGTCTCATGTCTGTGTCGCAGTGGAGATGGGGATGAGTGAGTGCAGTGTGCAGTGTAGCCTCTCGGTGCTGCCAGCATCCGTGTCTCCCGCGTCTTAGTGAGCTGGGTCACCATGTTTGGAAGGAATTAGCGGGAATGCAGGGGTGTGAAACTGGAGGAAAGTGAAAAGATGCGAGAAGGGGTCCTGGCGATCCTGACGTCCTCGACAGCTTTGCCTAGGGCTGCCTCACTTACGCTTGGAGTGGGCTGTCTGATAACCGTGGACAGGGTTAGCACGTGACTGTTTCCCGAATCCACTTTACAGGTGGTGGCGTTGAGGCTCAGGGAACCGGCTCATGGAGAGGCTCGCACAGGTGGCACGCAGCCTGCAGCAGAGTTCTTGCCGTAACCCCAGAGCGCAGGAGCACGCGCTCCTCACAGATAGATGCCTGACGTTTCAGTCGGAGGCTGGCATGGAGACCATGCAGCATGGCTCCTTCTGCTGTGCTTACGCAGTGCCAGGCAAGCAGAGAGGCTAGCACGGCATCATAGCCACGGGCTCTGTGCTTTTTAAATGGGGCTTTAGGTTTTCATTTGGCCTGCTTGTTCCATATGAAGAAACCTTCTTATCTCATCTCAGAAGTACTCCCTGAGCAAAGGTGGAGCTGTAACAGTACACCAGCATGGCACAGGGTGAGAGAAGATTGCGTGCACAGGTGTGCAAAACTGTGTGCAACACAGCACAGGGACAAGGCTGTGTGCAAAATGTGTACAACACAGCACAGGGACAAGGCTGTGTGCAAAATGTGTACAACACAGCACAGGGACAAGGCTGTGTACACAGCTGTGCCCCCACATAGCACAGAGGCAAGACTGTACACAGCTGTGTACAATGCAACACAGGGACAAGACTGTGTGCATTGCTGTGTACAACACAGCACAGGGACAAGGCTGTGTGCAAAATGTGTACAACACAGCACAGGGACAAGGCTGTGTGCATAGTCATGTACAACACAGCACAGGACCAGGCTCTGTGCACAGCCATGTACAACATAGCAGGGGGACCAGGCTGTGTGCACAGCTGTGTAGAACACAGCACAGGGGAGGGGAGACTCTTCACAGACACACACCATCACAGCTCGGGAGAGCCCTGTCGCCCCAGGCAGCAGTGGCTCTCAGGGACCTCCCAGCACTGAGGCCTTGCCTTTGGCTCTGATCGTGCTTCTTTGTGGCACCAGGTATGTGGAAGTAGACATCACTGAATTACCTGCAGGCTTTCTCCTGGAGCTTTTGTAAAGTCAGCCTGTCGGCTGATTAAAAATGAAGACCAATTACTCTGCATTCTGCAGTCATCACTTCACCGGGAGGGTGGATTTGCATTCAGGCACTGCACATATTTGCCCATGCGTTACACACGAAATGTTTGCCTCCACCCAAGCAGAGCATGCGTCCCTGGGGTCTCTCATAACTGCTGAGTCATAGAATTCAGGGCTTTTATGAAGCGGAGGGAACACTGACGTGGGAACGGCAGTCCGGGTGTGTTTCCAGGATAATTCTGTGTCTGAGTTAGGCAGGTGCTCCTGGGCTTCATTTGCAAGTCCAATTACAGGGGAGTTCCCCAGCGTGAGCTGCAGTAATTCTCTGTGACTGCAGCAGCTCCAGCACTTTGGAGGGGGTTTCCCTGCCGGGGTGGGCTCAGGCCACACAACTGAGGTTGATTTACGGGAGGTTCTGTGGATGGGCTGTCTGGGGAACTGGGAGCCTCTTTTGTGGAGCACAAATAACCCACTCTCCACTTGGCGTTTAAACTGCTTGCTGGGAATATGCAAGCCTGCAGATACCCAAGTGCAGTTTGCACTTGGCTTTGGAGCCTTGCTGTGGGCTGGTTAAGGGAGAGAGGTCTCACCTGCCCGAGCTGTAGAGCAGAGTCTGAACATCTGGGACGTCTACACCGCATTTCGGTTCAAGCCTGGTCTGGGAGCTCATGGTCTTGTTGAAATTAGCGTATTTGAATGTTGTCACCAAGCGATCCACATGAGAAGGCACCAGTCAACCCAAAATGCACCTGCTTGTCTAAGATCCAGGGCCCCGTGGGCATTGTTGCCGATCTAGGCTCAGTCTCCGCTGCCCGAGCAGCAGGAACCCAGAGTCTGGGCGACCCCCAGGCACGCAGCCGTGGGGCAGAGGAGCCGCGAGTGGTCCTGGCCAGCAGGGCGAGGGTGTCCTGGCAGTTCGCCGATGTTGAATGGGGTTTGCAAGTTACAAGCTGTGTTTTGCTTACTTCCTGTCAGAACCAAGAAGCTGCTGGTGATGTTCCTCAGCGGCTGGCTGTGACTCGTTCTGAAGCCGCTTCCCTGCGGAGCTCCTGAGTGCTGCAGGTGCGTGTGGGGGTGGGAGGTGGGGGCGCACTTCTGTGTGCAGCAGACGCGCAGGGACGTGGGATTGGGGCTGCTGCTCTCCTCTGACTGAAGCTCAGGAACACGTGACTTTCTTCAGGGAGTGTCTCCCCCTTTCTCTCTGCTGCATGGTGGGAACTCCTGACCTGTAGTCTGCAGGTGGAATTTGTACCTGTGACATCCTAGAAGCCACCTGGATTATCACACATGGTGGTGGAAAATACCCAGCAGCAAGGAAGGGCAAGCTCCAACAGCAGGCTCACCTGGTGTCTGTTGCATTATGTTTGGGAACATGCTCTTGGCAAAGCAAATCTCATGGCCGTGCTCAGCCTCAACGTGTGTGTTGCAGGGGAAGGAGAGGGGCTTGGCCAGTAATGAGATTCGGAGATCTCATAGTTATCCAACAGGCAAGGGGACAGGAAGGGGTGAGTCATGGGGATCATTGTTACAGCAGTTTGCCTCAGGGTCATTAAAATCTTAACTGGAGTTAGCACCTCGATCAACCGAAAATTACAGGACGAACGGACACTGAGTCTGACTCCCTTGAAGGTTATAAACCTCGGTCATCTAAGAGCTCGGGAGAGTCCACCGGGACCGTTTGCCAGGTGGGCAGCTGCTCTGAATTCTCCAGGCAAAAGCCGGCTGCCATTCAGACAGATTCTAAAAACATGTCTGTCTCAGCTCGGTGGGTTGGTCTTACCAAGGGCCCCTGTGGACGGCCTGCCTTGGAGCAGCGAGAGACGGGTTCATGGAGGCAGACTGCCTGTGCCTCCGCTCCGATCTCATGCCGCAGGCAAGGACTCTCGGGGCCTGGTGAGCAGCTGGGGGAAAGACGAAGCCCTCCAGTACTTGGACCGCTCCGCCTGCAGGACGTCACTGACCGCTGCGTCCTGGGCCAGCTCTGGAGAGGGCTCCTTTGTCATCGCCATCCGTCTTCCAGAAGAGCTTTGAATCCCACTTCGCTGAGGAAACAGTAATGTGGCGGCTTCTTGTGGACGCGGGGTAAGGGTTTAGGGAGAGCATTCGTTTCTTGGATGGCTGGGGAGACATTTTTGAACCCCCGTGAGTATATTTGTGAAGGTCTTAAGGCTTTTGAGGATGATTTTATCTTGGAAAACAGTCACTTGTGCAGACTGCAGTGGACTTTGGTTGTCAACAACTCTGCTTGTCCTTCCCAACAATCCCAGATTCCCACGTCGGGCTTTATGTGTTTTCTGGAAACCTGACTTGGTTTCCAGTTTCCGAGCCAACCTGAGCCTGCAGTCAGACAGTCGGTGAATTTTATCCCACTGGGCTCAGTGAGATGTGGGCAGCTCACCACGGTTAGTATAATTGGATTGAATCTGGGGGACTGTTAGGACAATCATATTTTTTTTCCAGCAAGAGGAGGAAGAAATGCACGTAGCCTGTGGAGCTGCCGATAGCTGCATTTCCCCAGACCACAGAAGCGGCTAGCCCTGGTGAACAAGTGCGCGCTGGAGGCAGAGCAGCAAGGCAGGAAGACAGCAGGTGCAGGTCACAGCAGAGGTGCTGAGTTGGCTTTCCCTGAAGCAACCTTGCAGGTGTGTGAAGCAGTAAATTCAGCCTCTTGTTCACCCCAGTTCGTTTGGGCTACCCAACTTGAAACCTTGAGCATTCCAAGTAATAATCTGCCACTGATGTCCCAGGGAAGATGAAATTCTCATTTTGTGAAATCCTTTGCAGTCCACAGGGTGGGAGAGAGGTGCTTTCAAAAGGTGACTTCTGTGTTTTGGGTTTGGTTTGTGTCTGTCGCCTGCAGGTTCACGGCCTGGCAGCTTGGTCCCCAGTGGGGTGAGGCTGAGAGGTCATAGAAGAAGACCTTAAGGGAGAGGTTGTTCTGAAATAGGTCTCAAAGGGCAAATAGAAATTCAACAGGCACAGCAGTGGAGAAGGAGGCCCTGGGCCAGCACAGACGAGCTGCTTGGCGGCCAGGCCTGCTTGGGGAGTGGTGACTCTTTCGGGCTATTTTCAAATGGCAGCAGGTGCAGGGAGTGACAGGCCCTGAGGTTGGAATGGTTGGCTTGATTCAAATATTAAAGGCTTGAATGTGATGCTGAAGAATGTAGATTTGCTGCCATAGGCAGCCTGAGCCGCCAAGGCATTTTAAAATAGGGGAGGAACAGTATCCTCTATGATTTAGAAAGACAGTGGAACTGACAGGGAAATGTGCCAGCTACTTTGACAGTTACATTTTCAGTGCACCGAAAAGTAGAAGCTATTTTAAAGATATAGGCAATAGAGCTCTTCAGAGCTCCTATTTATCAGCAGAGGGAGTTGGTCAGTGATTCATGCAGAAGCAGGAAGCACAGACTTGGCTTTAATTGGTCTCTCTCTCCCTCCCTCCCCCTCCCTCCCTCCCTCTCCCATTCTCCCTCCCTCCCTCTTTTACCCCTCCCCTCCCTCTCTCTTTCTGCACCCCTTCTCCTCTCTTCCTCCTCCTCTTCTTCCTCTTTCTCCTTCTTCTTTCCCTCTGTCTTTCTCACCCCCCCCCCCAATTTATAGCACACCCAATACACAGGCATTTTTTCTGCTGTATCCTGTGGTTGGGGGGGGGGTTCCCGCCTGATTGCTTGTGCTGACAGAACACCTACTCATCCATCCAGAAGCCACACTGTGCTCCCCCAAGGGGCATCTGGTCCCCCTGTGAGGACTGTGGGAAAGCCGGGCTTGAGGCAGGGTCTCTCTAAGGGGATCCTGTATCTGACCTGAGACACAGGTTTGCTTTCCTGTTCCACTCTTAAGTGAAAGTGAAATCAAAGGCGATGGCATCAGTCATCTTTCACTACTATAAGAAAGTGTCTGAGGCAGCTTAACTTTACACAGCAAGGAGGTTTCCTGCAGCTCCCAGATCTGGAGGCTCAGCATGCAGACAGGCTTTGTCTGGGTCCCATCGCAGAGCGAGAAGTATTTCTCTGTGTCTGTCTCTGGCCCCTTTACTTCTTCTTGAAAAGCCCCCAGTCATGGGTCCCACCCTAGTCCCTAATCCAATCACTTTCCGGGAGACCCACCTCTAAGCACCCGGTTGGACTGAGTTTCCATTCTCTCATCACCATGGCCACTCCAAGAATTTGGTAGGAAAACTATCCAAGCTGTAGTAGCAGCAGCCAAGCCGCCACACCTGCACGCAGCCTGCCCGGGTTAAACTGAGGCACAGTCTGGTGTGAAGAAAATGCTCTGAGGTTGAGTGGAGTTCCCCCGGCATTTGGGTTATTGCTTATCAGCCTCCGATCTTTACCACGCCTCTTGGTCCCGCCGACTCAGTCTCACAAGGTTGCTGGGAAGGCTCAGCCAACAGGTACGTAAAGGCGACTCTGGTCCCTGAGGATGCGCACAGACTGGACGTTGATGTGTGCAGGGGTCACACAGAGGGCAAAAGAGGTCTGGAGACCCCGTGTCTAAATGTTGCAACTCATAGATGAGCAAACTGTTTTTTTTTTTTTTTTTTTTTTTTGACAGGCAGAGTGGACAGTGAGAGAGAGACAGAGAGAAAGGTCTTCCTTTGCCGTTGGTTCACCCTCCAATGGCCACCGCGGCCGGCGCACCGCACTGATCCGATGGCAGGAGCCAGATGCTTCTCCTGGTCTCCCATGGGGTGCAGGGCCCAAGCACTTGGGCCATCCTCCACTGCACTCCCTGGCCACAGCAGAGAGCTGGCCTGGAAGAGGGGCAACCGGGACAGAATCCGGCGCCCCGACCGGGACTAGAACCCGGTGTGCCGGCACCGCAAGGCGGAGGATTAGCCTAGTGAGCCGCGGTGCCGGCAGATGAGCAAACTATTAAACAACTGTGTTCTCTGCCTATAGATAGGCAAATAGTCGTAAACCTTCATAGTGAAAAGTTAAAAACTGCATGGAAAGCAATCGTTCATAAAAATGGTTTGTGCAAATTCAGTTAATTTGATTAGTTAACTTAATAGTTCCAAGAACTGTATTTTTCCTGGGAAGACGCCTGGTGGTGGCTAAGGGCTGGCTGAGGAGGGGAGGGCTGTGGTCCAGCTCAGGCTCACTCCACCTTCGCTGTCCTCCCTAAGGCTCCCCTGCCCACCAGCGCCCCCTGCTGAAGCTGTTTCAGTCCTGCACAGATCACCCCTCACCACACTGCCACCATCACTGCTGCCCCACCAGAAGGATCCCTTTCCGTTCCTCAAAGGTACCTGCAGCTGGGCTGGCCAGGCTTCCCCCTCCCCCCGCCCGACCTGCGGCTCACGGGCTCTCCTCACCTCTGCGTCCTGAACCACCGCCTCCCATGCCGTGTGGTCTCAGAAAGCCGAGCCTCCCCGGGGACTGGGGGTACAACCGGCAGGGCAGTGATACCGCAAGCGCCACGGAGGAGGGAGGTGCAGGCTGTCCCCCATTGCAGAGCGAGGGGCAACAGCAGGACCCTGTGCAGCACCCAGGCAGGTGCAGGGCCTCCTGCTCACTGGTTCTGTGCATGGATGGAAGATCTCTGTCTCCTGTCTATCTCTTTCTTTTCCTCTCTGTCACCCTGCCTTTCTTTCTTTTTTATTTATTTGAGAGGTAGAGTTGTAGACAGAGAGAGAGAGAGAGGAAAAGAGAAAGGTCTTCCTTCCATTGGTTCACCCCTCAAATGGCTGCTACGGCCAGAACTGCGCCTATCTGAAGCCAGGAGCCAGGAACCAGGAGCTTCTTCCTGGTCTCCCATGCAGGTGCAGGGCCCAAGCACTTGGGCCATCCTCCACTGCCTTCCCGGGCCACAGCAGAGAGCTGGACTGCAAGAGGAGCAGCTGGGACTAGAACCAGCGCCCATATGAGATGCCGGTGCTGCAGGGGGAGGATTAACCAAGTCAGCCACAGTGCTGGCCCCACCCCTGCCTTTCAACTAAAACAAAACAAAACAAAGAAACAAACAAACCTTAAAAAACCCCTATGGGGTCGGCGCTGTAGCGCAGTGGGTTGATGCCCTGGCCTGAAGTGCTGGTATCCCATATGGGTGCTGGTTCAAGACCTGGCTGCTCCACTTCCAATCCAGCTCTCTGCTATGACCTGGGAAAGCAGTGGAAGATGGCCCAAGTCCTTGGGCCCCTGCACCTGTGTGGGAGAGCCGGAGGATGCTCCTGACTCCTGGCTTCGGATCGGCACAGCTCCAGCCATTGTGGCCAACTGGGGAGTGAACCATCGGATGGAAGACCTTTCTCTCTCTCTCTCTCTCTCTCTGCCTCTCATCTCTATGTGTAACTCTGGCTTTTAAATAAATAAATAAATCTTTTTAAAAAAAACCTAAAATGCACACTTTATTACATGATTTCAAATGTGATCTAAACTCCTTCTGTCCCAGACGAAGGGGATGAGTGGTGGTGGCAGAGGAGAGCAGCTCCACCGAGATGCGAGTGTTAAAGAAGAGCGTGGTTTGGGCCACATCACCGGTTTTCCCACCATGCTTAGGGGGTTAGCTTGATGCTGCTCAGAAGGGAGCATGCACACCTGCAAGACAGAGGGGAGCGGGAAACCCCACAGACTGCACGACCCAGCTCCGAGTCCGTTTGCTGCAGCGCCTCCGGCCACACCGGAATCCTCCTACCCAGTTTCCCAGGGGACGCAAACCTTCGGTAGCTCTCCCTGTCTTAAGCAAGTACACTTCCCCAGGAGCTGCTGTGCTGCTCGGGGCCCGAATCGCTCAGTCTTTGGAATCGGAACGGGCGTGAAACAGGTGTGACTTCCTGCGAGGAGAGAGCCAGGTGACACCTGGCCCCGTCTCTTCCGCTGTGGCTGTCGAGGTTTGCAAGGAAAGCAGCCACATCGGCAGAGAGGCCCTTTGTGTGGTCAGCTGCTGTGCCGGCATTGGTTCTGCTGCTCGGACAGGAGCAGTGCAGACCGAGTGAACTAAACTCGGAGCTGGATTCACGGATTCAGCAGGCTCCGGAGGGCTCCGATCCCATTAAAGCTGTCCCTTGTCAATGCCGGGGATTCCTGGCTTTCCGTGCAAGGAAGCGAGTGCTCTTCAGGTAACATCGTCTTATTGCTGCATCGGGCCCCGCCTCAGCTGCTCTTCCCATAAATCAAGGTTTGTAGAGCAGTCATGGGGACGGACTGGCATTAACGATGTGTCCATCAGAACGAAGAGTAATTTCGTGCATGTGGACGTCTGATCCCTCTTAAGCTGTACGTGGCCCCCTCACTGGTGTTCCCTTGCCTTCCTCTGTTCTCCTAACCTATAAATGTGTTCTGGAAAAGTCTGGGAGGAGGGAGACCAACTCTGGGTGCTTTTGCTGCTCCCGCAGCTGCTGCCATTGGAATCACGGTGCCCCGGGTGTTTCTGATTGGTGCCCAAAGCTGGGTTTCCAATGTGCAGGTGGGGACCATGGCAGGTGCTGAGCCCATACCTGGTGATTGGGTGAAACTGATGGACCCGCCTTCACACGGGAGCTGGAGACCAGTGCCGGACTTGGGAGTGCCGCACCTGCCCAGGGAGTCGTCACCCCACTGGCCATGGGCTCTGCAGCCGGTGGGGAAGGTACAGTCTCTCGCCCCCGGAAATACATGGGGTTAGGGTCCAGGGTTCTGGTTCAAGTCTCTGTTTCGAG